TCATTTTGACATCTCACATGTTTGACAGATATGGTCGCCAAACCATATCCTAATGAGGACACAGATGGATATGGATTTGGTCTACTAATTTCGCCGACGGTTGGCGACAAAACTGCGACATCTCGCAACCAAATTGTTTGCTGGGTATGTAAGTCCCTAGAGTCAACTAGATCAAAATAATCCTTCACGAGGCCTGGTTTATGCGGGCCTAAGATTTTAATATTTCTGTTTATTAACAGAAGCATAACAGAATATAACAGAAGCATTGAAATCCTATAGTTGAACTGTACCAATTCCGGCATAAATTAACAGTTATTACCCGCATAAACAAGGCCAAAACAAGGCCTTATTTGCCCGCATAAACCAGGCCTGACTCTCCGCGTCCGTTTAATGTTAGCTAAAACTGTTTCAGTCCGGCGTTTTCCGCCAGGCTACACAGAGTGCTGATTTTCCTTGCAAAATCTGGTTATCTTTTCTCTGTTAAGCCTAAATTAAATAAATAGGCCTTAAAGGTCCAATGGTCTGTTAAGAGGTTAATACTCAATCTGAGTCTCTTTTTACTCATTACCAGTAGTTCTGCACTCCTACTTGACACTGTCTGCTACATCAGGGGTACGTTCCAAAATCTTACCTCGGTAACCGAAAACTATAGTACACGTGACGCAAAATATAGCGTTTTAGTAACCAAGGTAGGATTTTGGAACGTATCCCAGGAGTTTGAACTGTCGGCAGTTCTTTTCATCTCTTAGGAGGCGAAGTGCGTTCGCCTTAAGTCATCTTTGATGTGTTTTTTCCCCACAGTAAAGGAGACGCTTACTACATAACTGACTGGTTCCTCTAGGTGCCCAGTTTGGCTAGACCATCAGCCACGTCGGTGCCTTGGTGACCGAATATATGCGAATATATATATTGTATATACACGCATATTTCCGCACAACATTCAGCTAACATTCGGCTTACATGACCGTTTATACAATACATTCCTTAGTTTTAAAATATCACTAGTTTATTATTTATGTAAATCTTACACGTGAGTTTTTGAATTGAGAACTCAATTCATTCTTAAATTCATATAGGATGCTATATTTGCATCTCATATATGAGAGACTTTTGGTATACTCTCGTATAGTGATATTTTTTTGCGTTCGTCTAGTTTGTTTAATGCTCGCATACAGTTCTAAACAACGGAAGATTCTGTCTTAGCGAGAGCTTCAATAGCAGCTTACATATTGATTTAAATATATTTGACATTTCTCACCTATAGAAGGTCGAAATATCCCAAGTGGTATATTTTTGCTTTCTTTAGAAAGAAGCTCTTCTGCAACGGCTTTCGAGAATGTATAATTATTCACCCATTGGATGTTTGTTTCAGCCATAATTCTGCATAAAATCATAATTTTTTTCCGTACAAAAACAGATATATGTATATATAGAGTGTCCCGTAATTGCCGCTTGTAGGCAGGTAGAAGGGGTTATTCTAAGACGAAAAGTCCTATGCCACTTTGGAAGATTTGCAATCATTAACGAAATATTAATTAATAAATATCTGCTAATCATCAGTGTGCATCCAGCGTAAGAACAGCCCAGTCTATCGCGCCGTAGCGACGGAATGGGAGGAACTAATAGAATAACATGTGCATACATAGACAGCATATAGGCTGCGTTCGTGTAGCGCGCTATCCGCGCTATTGTATTCCGTCACTACGACGCGACAGACTGGGCTGTAAAGACTTTTCGTCTTAGAATAACTTCTTCTTCTTGCCTACGAGCGGTGAGACGGTAATTATGGAACACCCTGTATGTATATATAATAAGTATGTCTACAGTAAAACTTCAGTAATTTCAAACATCACAATTGTGACTTCTCCATTATGGGCGGACCAATTGTTTTCCCTACTACTGATTATTCCATAATGTCTTGGACTTTTGAGTGACTGCAACTCGTAGAGTGCGCGTCTATTTCCGCTCTAGAAAAAGAAAGGTATAATTTTTGTTGCTACAAATCAGTTACTAATTGCAACAAAAAGAAAATAATTTCGATTTCTAGACAGAATCGATCCTATGAGCTTAAAATTACTGGAGTTCTACTGTATTTAATATATATATATATGTATATATATGTAATAATATTACTACTTTTATATATATATAAATAGTAATATAATTAACACTCAAAGATGTTTTTCGGGTTTGAACCGTGTTAATGTCATTTTTATACTGATAATTTCAACTCTGATAAAGTGAGCTGAAATTTTCACGAAACGTCGGTATAAGAATGACACTAACGCGGTTCAAAAAAACATCTTCAAAAGTTAATATAACACACTGCAAAAACATCAAATATCAAAGTAATATAATTATTGTATAATCAATTAAGTCGTTTTGCTTTAGTAAACACACGAGTATAATTAAAAGAATACATACTGATATATTCTTTCACTGAATTCCTTTTCAGACAAATTACGTGACAATTCGATCAGATAATCGGGATCTATCGGACATGTGTAGAAACGTTCATCAATATGTTTCATGTAAGTGGTTGAATATATAGTGGATGTGTATAGAAATGCCTAAAAAACGATATCAATGTTGATCTTCAATACTAATTCAAACAAACAATAATAAATATAAACTTAATAATGTGTTTGTAATATACATATATGTAATATTAAAACCATTATTTCATTAATTTAAAAATAACACTCAAACATAATATAACGTTTAGAAAATAATTTGTAAAACAAAACTCGCACTTGTAACTTTGGCATCTGTTTTGCAAGTGTTAAAATTTCCTTGGTACTAACGACGTTTAATATAATTATTTTATGTACTTTCTCAGTGAAACGTACTGTCGCCGCCACATGAAAGATTATAGATACCTACAATATAAAAGATTATTGATATTATTATATGTATAAATAATGTAATATAAGTCTTATGTGCTTACTTCACGAATTAAGATGTTCCTGTCATGTTCAGACAACCCTAAGTTTTCGTTATAAAGATCACCGAAAATCGGCACAATTTTATGTCGAAAATTTGGAACTTCTTTCTTTACTCGATCGAATAACTAGTAATAAAAATGTTAAATAAATAAATGATCTCGATTGTACGTTGGCACATATTTATATACTAGTGCTCTTGGCATAAATACATCTATACACAACTCACTCGATTTTCAATTAATTCGTTCAGTCTACTTTCGATATTTTGATCTTTCTTCGGACGTATTAACAGATAAATTTTGCAAATATTGGTACAACTCCTCAGCAATTTTTCAAGTAAGACTGCTCCGATAAATCCAGTAGTCCCTATATATAAAATAAGATAATGATATTACTGATAAATTCAGAAAATATAGTAATTTCCAAAATACATTAAATATTACTGAAAAGTATCTGTTTATAAAGTCATCAAACTTTTTAAGTAGAAAAATATAAAACAATACCTGTAATAAGAATAGTTTGGTCTGCATAAAATTGTTGTAATGGAGTCTGTCGACTTTTTGTGTATTCACCTCTAATTGTATCCATGATCTATGAAATTAGTTATTTAATGTAACAAATATATATACATATATATATATATATATATATATATAATGATAATAAAAAAAGACAAATAAAGGTATCGAACATACAAAATGTTATTGATAATACTTATAGATAATAATCATAATTTTTAAGATAAGTTATAAGTGTGTAAACTAGTTATTTAAAAGATTGATTTTTTAATGTGAAACCAGAGTAATTAAATATATTGAAACTCTCAGTGACAATATCTACCTTTTTAGTTATACGCATATATCAACAATGTATGCTGAAACACTGTAGGTTACTTATCATGTGTAAGCAGTTATATATGCTTATTTGTATTCGCTATGTATATGTATGTACAATAATAAATGTATATGTATGTACAATAATAAATGTGCTAATATTACTTTTAATCTTTAGATCGCCGGTATGATAAGCCGGCCATTTGGCGTCATCAAATGAGGTGTATAATAATTAATGATAATATGCTTGCAATATAAAAAATAGCCTTCTCCATTCATAATCGACTTTTTTACATAAATTATTTAATTATACATAAATTAATTTATAACAGCATTCCAAGAGCTAGAAGTACTATAATTAACAGTTTCAAACTTTACGAGAATCTGTCATAACATTGAACTTAACAATGAAATCTTGGTTTCGTTGGATGTTGTCTCTTTATTTACAAATGTTCCGAATGAATTAGCAATTAATGGTTTAATTAACAGATGATCTTACATTAATAAAAACACTAGCATTCCTTTAGAAGAATTCATTAATGCGATTAACTTGATTTTATCATCAACTTTCTTTACACTCGATAATGTCACATATAAACAAACGTTTGGACTCCCAATGGGATCACCTTTGCCTCCACTAATTGCTGATATTGTTCTACAAGACCTTGAGAACAAAGCATTATATGAATTTAACGAAGTCGTTCCTATTTACTTCCGCTATGTAGACGACATTCTTTTAGCTTCTCCGCCACACATAATTGATTTTAATTGGATCTTGTTTGAGAGGAAAAGCTCAAGAGTGGTTTCACTCCAATCCTGATTTTACGGAAATGACGACCGATGAGCTCTTGGCCGAATTGAGAAGAATGCTTTATCACGAGTCGAACCGAGTGAAGCTGCGCTGGCAGTTCGAGCGGCGCGTTTGGCGGAGAGACGAGACATTCGGCGAATATATTCACGAAAAGGTGATACCTACTGGGCAACCGACTGAGAATTGAAGAGTCCGAGATCGTTGACTACGGAATCGAAGGAATTCCTGATCCAGTGCTGCGGAATCAAGCCCGAATTCAGCGCATCAGAACGTTGGCTGCATTGACGGAATTGTTTGAAGGAGTGGCGCTGCGTGCGGAAGGAGTTCAACCTGTTTGTGCAGGCAGAAAGGAACAACGGGGCAGGGAGGTAATGAGAGGAAAAGTGGAGATGCGACGGCGAGCGGGAGANGGTGCCACAATTGCGGTATACAGGGACATTATGCGGCGGACTGTCCTTCGAAATCTAGAGGTATAAAATGTTACAATTGCAAGGAGTTTGGGCATATTGCTGCGAAATGTCAAAAACAAAATAGTCGAATTAAAGATGCGTGTGATGTGTCAGAGTCAAGTCGCGGCAAGTATTATAAAAATGTAAAAATCAGAGACGAAAATATCGTAGCTTTAATAGATACGGGAAGTGATTTATCATTGATGCGTGCGGATCAGTATTTGAAATTAGAATCTCCTGATTTAACATCTCCGAGCATGGTGTTTCGTGGTATCGGTTNGGATGAATATAAAACNNTAGGCTCGTTCGAAGCNAAGATAGAAATTGACAATGAGAATTTCTCAATAAATATAGCGGTAGTGCCGAATGGCCTGATGCGACATTCTCTGCTTATAGNAACTGACTTTATCGATGGTATANAATTGCATATTAAAAAAGNAGATATCATAATTCGTAAACCGCGTTCGAGAATCGAGTCTTCAACCGATATTCACGAGATATTAAAAATAGATTGCATCGAGACAAGCGACGTTGTAGATTTGACGCACGTGTCAACCGAACATTGAGGCATCATTGAGGAATTAATTAATAATTACAAACCAGAAAAGGCACGCGAGATAGATGTCGAACTAAATATAATTTTGAATGATAAAGAACCCGTTTATCAGAGACCCAGACGTTTGTCACCGACGAAAAAAAAAGAGGTAAACGCGCATATAATCGAGTGGCTGGAAAAGGGCATTATTCGACCATCTCTGTCGGATTATGCAACCCCCGTAGTATTAGTTAAAAAAAAACGGGAGGAACTAGATTATGTATCGATTACCGACAGTTAAACAAAAAAATTATAAAAGATCGATATCCGCTTCCTCTAATTGACGATCAGCTGGATGCGCTGCAGGGAGCTATCGTGTTTAGCACTATCGACTTGAAAAATGGATTTTTTCATGTTCCGGTAGAAAAAGAAAGTAGAAAATATACATCGTTTGTGATCCCGGATGGACAGTACGAATTTCTCTATACACCTTTCGGACTGTGTAATTCACCGGCGATATTCCAAAAATTTATTAATGCCGCTTTTGATAATTTAATTAAAAACGGTTTAATTTTAACATATATGAACGATCTAATTATTCCATCCAAGAGCGTCGAAGATGCGATTGCGAGTCTTCGAAAAGCATTGCAAGTAGCAAAAAAGGTTGGATTGGATATTAATTGGAAAAAATGCAAATTTTTGGTGACTAAAGTCGAGTTTCTTGGTCATGTAATCGAAAATGGCACAGTGCGCCCTTCGGAACATGAAACTGACGCGGTGATGAAATTTTCAGAGCCGAAAAATGTTAAACAGCTGCAAAGTTTTTTAGGATTGACGGGATACTTTAGAAAATTTATTAGAGACTACGCTTTGATCGCGAGACCGCTGAGCGACTTATTAAAGACGAACACCGAATTTATTTTTCGAGAGAAAGAAAAAGAAG